GGTTTGCAAAATAAAAGCAAATAAATCATAATAACGATAATAATAACATATACAAACACAATGTATTTAACAAGGGGGGGGAAGGAAAGAGGGGAAAGACATAGAGATAAGGAAAAAGAAAAGAAAGAAAAAAATAAAATAATATGCAAAAATAACAAAAAAAAAGGAAAATTGACTAAGTTAAAAGAAAAAAGAGAGGAAAAGAGAAAAAAAGGGAAGAGCAATAATAATAAAGTAGTAACAAAATAAGATAAACAACCGGGCACGTTTAGTATATTTCCATATGTTGATATTGTTGAAAGTATGCATGTACAAACGGACACAGGAACGTAGGTCGTAAAATATAGAGAGAGCAAGACCACGACACATAACGCATGTCCTCTCTCTATCTTGACCTAGGGACACGACATCTATGTCTCGGTCTAGGGTTAGTGCTATGGATAGGGATAGTCCCCTATGACATGACATACTCAATAGATGGTACTACCCACCACTTCACCCCCCAGTGGCCCGAGCCAGGCCACTAAGACGTATGCGGAATACGTCACTCACACTAATTGCCTACCATGTGCCCGTCACATGGTTCTTGGGCAACTGTATATAAGTTTTTTCTGTTATTTGCTCTTAAGTTCTTCTATCTTAATGTTTTCTTCTTTGTCTTGTTCGAGGGAATCACAGTGCTTACACACAGGAGGGCCTATACCCAGAGCCCCGATGGGGTGGGAACTGACAATGGGTCTAAGATAAAGGAGGACGGACTGCTGCTTAGAAATACTGGACAGCACAGTAGGTTGTATGTAATAATATGGTGCTGACGTTTCTATCATTGAACACTAAAGGATTCAACTCCCCGAATAAATGGAGGCTGGCACTATTGGAAGCGAAAATGGCAAAAGCCCAAATCGTATTCTTTCAAGAAACCCACTTCCAATGGGGTAAGAGACCCAAATTCAATTCCCCCCTATACCCTTTAAACTTCTATTCCTGCTTCTCTAAGAAAAAAAGGGGTGTGTCGATTCTTATCGGGAAAGATGTGGCGTTCGAACTAGTAAAAAAACGTACAGACCAACAGGGCAGGTACTTAATTATACAATGCCTACTGAATAATGCCCCATACACTTTAATTAACTTATACGGCCCTCATACAGCACAGGCAGCATTTCTCATTAATATTTTTAACGCACTGGACGAATGCAGACTAGGGGAAGTAGTGATAGGAGGAGACACGAATTTCATTCTAGATACTTAACTTGATACATCCTCCTCACACACAGTGAAGGCATCTACTGAGGCAGGCAGGAGAACAACCACAGGGCACCTTAATCAACTCCTTCTAGAGCAGAATTTCATAGACCCATGGAGGGTGAAACATCCGCAAGAAAAAATTTTTACATTTCACTCCGTGGCACATAACTCGTACTCCCGAATAGACCGCTTTTTGATACCCACCTCCCTGATCAGCAACATCGTCAACACAACTATAGGCCTTATAACGTGGTCGGACCATGCGCCAATCATACTCCACCTGAATAAACAATTTCCTGCCAAGGGGAGGGGAACTTGGCGGCTTAATGGAAACTCGCTTACTGACCCCCAGGTATTGGAGGATATCCATAAAGAACTGGAGGTCTATTTTATGACCAATTCTTGACCAGACACACCCATAGAAAATACATGGTTAGCCCATAAGGCATACATCAGGGGAGTACTACTTAAGCACGCTTGTAGGGCCAAAGCTGCACGTATAGCCAAATATATAAACATCATTAGCCGCCTCACAACAATAAACACACTTAATAAACAAACACCCTCAAGGACGCATCTTAACCCCTTAAGGACTGAGCCAAATGTGCACATTGTGAACGAAACAAAATGTAAACAAAACCTGGTATTTGCGCTACATGTCTGTCCAACTGTAATTCACCTCTTTCATATTAAATGCACCCACCCTTATTATATATCATTTTATTCAGGGGAAACAGGGCTTTCATTTAATATCAAATATTTAGCTATGAAACATAATTTAATATGAACAAAAATTGGAGAAAATAAGATTTTCTTTGATTTTTTTAGTTCTACATGACATTTTAACTATCAATGTCATAATACTGTTTGCTTTTACTGCAATAAAATACACATATTTGTATTCAGCAAAGTCTCACGTGTAAAACAGTACCCCCTATGTACAGGTTTTATGGCGTTTTGGGAAGTTACAGGGTCAAATATAGCACGTTATATTTGAAATTGAAATTCGCCAGATTGGTTACGTTGCCTTTGGGACTTTATAGTAGCCCAGGAATGAAATTTACACCCATAATGGCATACCATTTGCAATAGTAGACAACCCAAGGTATTGCAAATGGGGTATGTCCAGTCTTTTTTAGTAGCCATTTGGTCACAAACACTGGCCAAAGTTAGCGTTAGTATTTGTTTGTGTGTGAAAAATGCAAAAACGCCAATTTTGGCCAGTGTTTGTGACTAAGTGGCTACTAAAAAAGACTGGACATACCCTGTTTGCAATACCTTGGGTTGTCTACTATTGCAAATGGTATGCCATCATAGGGGTAATTTTCATTCTTGGGCTACCATAGGCTCAAAGGCAATCGTAACCAATCTGGCAAATTTTAATGTGACAAATGAAACGCAAGCCTTATATTTGACACTGTAACTTTTGAAAACACCATAAAAACCTGTACATGAGGGGTACTGTTGTACTCGGGAGACTTCGCTGAACACAAATATTTGTGTTTCAAAACAGTAAAAAGTATGCAGCAATAATATCGTCCGTGTAAGTGCTGTTTGTGCATGAAAAATGCAAAAAACTTCACTTTTACTGGCGATATCATCGTTGTAATACATTTTACTGTTTTGAAACACTAATATTTGTGTTCAGCGAAGTCTCCCGAGTAGAACAGTACCCCCCATGTACAGGTTTTATGGTGTCTTGGAAAGTTATAGGGTTAAATATAGTGCTAGCAAATTAAATTCCCTTTACTTTCGGCATGGGTTGTCAGGCAGGTCCCGCTAATTGTAATTAATTAAGATACCTAATTATGTAAAAATATTACATAAATATATATGTAGAATTAATATATGTTATTTTTATTTATATATAGGTATATATATAGTGATATATACGTATATATTTATGTACGTAGATATATATATTATTTCGTTCTACGTGTGATATAAATATATATATATTAATATCACAATACAGTTAGAATGAAATAACACACATCTATATATTTTTTAATTATTTTTTTTAATTATTTTTTTAATTTTATTGTTTAACCTATTTACATATTTATTTTTTTATATTATATATAAATATATATATAACAATAATTATATATATATTTAATCAGTATCAGTCTACGTGTAATTTGATATTAATATATATATATATATAATTATATATATATATTAATAGTAACATACACCTAGACAGTGTATGTGTGTGTATGTATATGTGTATATATATACTTAGATCATATATATAATATATATATATATATATATATATATATATATGATCTAAGTATAATTTTTTATTTTTTTTTTTACACTTATTAATTTTCTTTTATTTTATTCCCAGCCAGCAGGGGGACCACCTGTCATTACTGGCAATGCAGCAGGCAGCTATCCCGGCCATGTGATTGTGAGGTCCTCGCAAGGACCTCACTCTCACATGGCCGGGGGGGGACCGGAGGAGGAGGATCTGCTGCAGGGGGGCTCCCTGGGAGTGGGACCGCTGGCGACCGGGTAAGTAAGAAAAGACCGGAGGGCGTACAATTACGCCCTGCGGCGTTTAGAGCCGCCTAAAATAGGGCATAATTGTACGCCCTCCGGTCTTAAGGGGTTAAAGAGATTAAAGACCTACGAACGCAATTACAAGAACTGGAAGTGGCTAAAACTAACTTTTTCCTAAGGCGACTTAAAGCAAAATTTTACGAGCAGGGAAACAGAGCAGGGAAAGTACTAGCATCCAGACTTAAAAAACGAAGCCTAGCGACCAAAATAGCATACATTCATAACCCCCTGGGTCAGAAAATTGTAAACCCTGATAAAATAGTACAGGAATTTGCTCAGTTCTACCGCACACTCTATAATCTCAAGGAAGACAACCTGACATCCCAACCAACACAAGAACAGATAAACAAATTTCTAGGAACCATCCAGCTACCTTCGCTGCCCACTGATAGGATCCCTGACCTTATTAAACCAATCTCAGTTGAGGAAGTTACGCAAATGATTAAAGATTTACCTACTGCTAAGTCGCCAGGACCAGACGGACTTTCTTCCATCTACTATAAAACATTCCAAACTGCTCTTACCCCACATTTAGTATCTCTGTTTAACCAAGGCAGGGTAAATTACCAGGCGAAATGCTACGTGCCCACATTGTCACACTACCTAAACCGGGCAAAAAGCCCACAGCATGTGCCAACTTCTGCCCGATTGTCACACTACCTAAACCGGGCAAAAAGCCCACAGCATGTGCCAACTTCTGCCCGATATCCCTCTTAAATATAGACACCAAACTATACGCAAAAATCCTGGCGACTAGACTCAAACATTTACTCCCCACTCTGATACACTATAACCAATCAGGCTTTGTCAAGGGCAGGCAGGGCTCAGACAATTCCAGACTCCTTCTTAACTTAACTCCTGGAAAGACATGATGCTCTCGTGGGCAGGGAGAGTTAACGCAGTGAAAATTATGGCCGTACCTAAACTACTGTACTTATTAGCATGTTGCCTATAACTGTCCCACAAACTTTTTGTAAAAAAGCCCAGGCCATAATTAACAGCTTTATATGGGAGAACAAGAGAGCGAGGGTAGCAGGTCACACCCTGTACAGACTGTTCCAGATGGGAGGAATGGGGGTACCGCATGTGGCCACATATCGCTTAGCAGCCATACTAACCCAAGCAGTAAATCTCCATGCAGATGAAGGTCAACTACTTTGGGTCGACATGGAACGCAAAATATGGCCTAATGAGACCCTCCTGGAGTATATGTGGTCCCCACCAACCAAACAGAGGAAGACACGCACACTCCTTTCCACAACAAAACTGACCGTATACATATGGGATAGGTTTCGAGCCATTCAGTCTAAGACTCCTAGATTCCATAGACTGGCTTCATTAAACGTCATGTCCACAGTTTTACCATGGCTCCCACTATCCAAATGTGCAGAAGCGGCCATCACTAAAATATTCCAAGTATTTACAGGTAATGAAATCACTCCCTTTGCAGAGCTCCAACAGGAATACAGTCTAGCCCCTATATATGTATTCCCTTACCTCCAAATTAAGAGTGCACTAAGATAGGGCCACCGAGTGCAACAATGGGGAACCTAAAAAGAAATGCGATCTCCTCATGACATGTTGGAAACATCCCCTCAGACCTAAATTACTCTTAAGGTGCTACAAGGCGATATCAAACTATCCAATATCCCCATGTCTGTCATTTATGTCCCAATGGGAGAGGGAAAGCGGGAAGACTCTTCCTCCCCATAAATGGCTGTCGCTAGTCAATGCACTGACTGGACATACTGCGTGCTATTCACATGTGGAAGCCCATAGAAAGCTAATGTACCGATGGTATCTGACACCGGACAGGCTTAACAAAATATACCCAAACACTTCTGACCGGTGCTCGAGATGTCAGACACAAAGAGGCTCCACACATGGTGAGGATGCTACCTTATTCAGCCATTGTGGCTGGAGGTTATTAGGCTGCTTAGCAAAGTAGGTATCAACCTCCCGCAGGAGTTTGAGGCCTGCCTATGGTTGGACCTTCCCACCAGCTGGATGAAGCAGGAGAAGGCGCTGGCCACACAGGTGATATTAGCAGCTAGAGCTCTCATAGCGATCAATTGGAAATCAACCAATTGCCCGTCTGAAACGAACCTTATGGACAAAATCCGACTATATTACGTGTACAACATCTGTTCTGCGATAACTTCCAGCCAAAAATATAAGATATCTCAAAACTGGGAACCTTGGTGCCGCCAATACCAATTCCAGCCCCCATAGCTCACATTTTGTTTTTCCCTCAATTTTGAGTGTTTCTAAATGTATACTATTTTCTTTTTCTGTTTTCATTTTTTGTTCAGGGATGACCAGGCCGAGCAATACCTTGGCAACTGCACGATACTTCACAGGGTACCACACTTAAAGGGATACTTACGAGGCAGTAACTATGTACACAGGGAGACCCATCCAGTAGATGCTAAGGCACAGGGTTAACAATACTTTGAAACCTTCTGAACGCCCAACAAGGTTAGCATATGTAAAACATAAGCTAACCACACAACAAACAGGTGTGAGATATCCAGAGCATTGCCCCAGCTTGCATGTAAGGGGCTGACAGTTACACTGCCTCAACGACGGGACACACTTAGAGGTTGCAAGGCGGTGGAGTAAGTAATGCCCGTTCTGACATGGAATGGGCAGTGAACACTTTATGCCCAAACAAACAAGTACATAGATATGAGGTGATCAACATGAAATGGTGAATGTCGTTGTGATGTATCAGATCCTCTGTACTGTAACCCTGAACAACTTACCCTCCCATTTTTTCTTCTGTACTCCCCCCCCTTTTTTTTTTTGTTATTGAAAACGAATAAACTCAATTCATAAAAAACAAAACAAAAAAAACATCACCCGCATCTACCCCTTTCTTACACAAGATGCTACTAAAGAGCTTGTCCATGCTCTAGTAATCTCTCGCATGGACTATTGTAACTCTCTAATAATTTGTCTTCCCAATAGCCATATTACCCCGCTACAGTCTGTAATGAACACTGCTGCCAGACTGATTTTCCTCTCTAGTCGGTCCTCTCACACCTCACCCCTATGTCAGTCCTAACATTGGCTTCCTGTATTCAATAGGAGTCAATTCAAATTGCTAACCCATACCTATAAAGGACTGAATAATCTTAGCCCCTCATATCTCTTCACAGATCCATAGGTATGCCCCTTCTCGGTCGCTTCGCTCTGCCCATGACCTTCTTCTATTTCCTGCTTGCACCTTTACGGCCAACTCGAGCTTGCAGGACTTCTCCCTTACTATGGAATATTTGCCTGCTGCCATCAGTCTCTCCCCTAGTCTTCAATCATTTAAAAAGTGCCTTAAAACCCATTTCTTTAGGAAAGCGTATGGCCTCCCCGACTAACCTCTACCTCACATACCCGTCTCTTGCTCTCTCCTAAAGGGCAGCACTTTACTCTCTCCTCCAGCTCTGCTTCATTACCACCTTATTTGATTGCTATTTCCTGTCCTAAGGTGTTTTATACCCCACCTCCTATAGATTGTAAGCTCATTTGAGCAGGGCCCCTATTGTTTCTGTAAGTTTTCTTTTAATTGACCTATTTATAGTTAAATTACCCCTCTAATAATATTGTAAAGTGCTACGGAATCTGTTGGCGCTATATAAATGGTGATAATAATAATAATAATAATAACTGCTATGTTTACAGCTGCAGGGTTAAAACTAGGGGGATATGGCACCCAGAACATTTCATTGAGCTGAAGTGGTCTGGGTCCCTTTAGTGGTCTTTTAACTACCCAATGCCGGACTATCTCTGTATATCTCCATTTCCAGTCCAGGTAGTGGTTTTGTAACAAAGGAAAATGTCTGCTTTTCATTATCTGTTTGCACTTTAAAAAAGGCAAATATAATATTTAATTTTCCACTTGTTTTGCACGTTTCTAATTCACAGAATACAAGTTCCGTTATATAGCTTTCTAGTAACAAATTGTTATTTTTCTACACATTTTCTTCATTAAGTCTGGAAGATAAACACACTAAGGGCAAAACGTCATGTTTGAACTGCTTCAAGAGGTTCTTCTTAAAATTATGCTTGGCTTTGTTCACTCTCTCTCCCATAATTAAGTTAAGTATAGGAACCACCAACATTGGGGTACATTGATTGAACTGATAAGCTTAAAGATGGTATGGCCATATGGTGTGACTAAATCTCCATATTTATCTGCTACAGATGATTTTAAAAAGTTCTTCCAAGCACTATGACCACTTCAGTGATACAAGCGCTTATTAGCTGAGGTTTAATTCAACCTCTCGCAGCAGAATTAGCTAGCCAAGAACTAGAGTTCCTACCTGACTGGTTTAAATCTGTGCATGTTGGGTGTCTGTCATCAGCATGCATTTCACACTGGCGATAGTTGACTAATGGTGGCATGTCTACCCCACCTACATGCCACCTAAGCCTTCTCCTCAGCCCATCCTTCAGGTGATCCCTCTCTTGCAGTCAGGTGGAACCACCAGAGGAAGCTCAGGCTGCAGGGAGAACGTGGCCTCAGCGTGAGATAATAAAAAAGTGATTTATTTCTCTCTTTTCTTTCTTTCCCTCTTTTCCTGCGTAAATGTAATTCATTGTTTGTGTGGACCAGGGTATTCTTGAAAATGGGTGAGATCGCGTTTTCTTCTAGGTAAAAACTTTTCTAATAAATAAATATATTCTAATGCAGTTTACCATTATAACATGTGTTTCTTAGAACTTGCACTGCTCCTCTTTACTAGAAAGTTTATTACAAAAATTATTTTAACATCTTGACAGCATAAGTAGATGTAAATATAAAATTAAATGATTATAACATTAGTTATTTTATTTCGTCGTTGCATCACATAATACAGAATCTTCTGGAGGACTCTGATAAAGAAGGGCAGTCTCTATTTTATATAATCTCACTAATTAGATTTTTTTTAAATCTAGGCCTGCAGTAGGAAGGCTGGTTTGAGACCTAAAACCATAACATAACACAGTGGGGGAGGCAGATAGAACTGTGAGCATTTGCATGCATCTTTACTGGATCCTGCTGCGGAGAGACGGTTTATAAAGATTTTTAAAAGTTCATCTTTTCCAATTATCACAGACACTCCAATTTCCTAAACATTGGTTCATCTCAGTGCCGCCATACATGCGTAGTTATTGAATGATAATTGTTGAGCCACTTGTGCATGCAATTAGAAGTGTGAAATATTGCAGTTATTGAAGGAAGAAAAAACAATGTAACAGCAGTAATTGAACGTAAGTTGGCATTTATAACAACTTCTGCATAAATATACCTCTTCTGTTTGTTACTTAAACCTATCAGCAGATCATTTGTGAAGAGTCACGGAATAGAATAAATCAAATAAGGCTTGTTAAAGTTTGTAAGTAATCACAGACAAGAAATGGGATGTGAATTAAACTAGCATTCACAAATGTCAAAACAAGATAAATACCAGTCTTACTGCAAGTATTCAGTAAGATGAGAAACAAATATTGTATTACTATGATTTATAGTAGTATTAAATAGATAAATGTACATTTGTGACAAGGGGGGCCTTCTCTCTCCATATAACTAATGTTAAACGTTTCATTTCAGATCTAAAAGTAAAAAAAAATTCTAAAAGTATTAGCTTTTTTGTGGCATGTAATATGTGTATGCACAATCCATGGGGCCCTGGTGCTAAACTGATCCATGGGCCCCACCCTTCGGTGCAAAACTGATCCATGGGCCCCACCTTCCCTCTATCATCCCCTCCCCTCCCCCGATAGGCATACGCACACACATACATACAGACACATACAAACAGAAACACACACATAGACACATACACACACACACATACAAAGACACATACATACAGACACACATACAGATAGACAGACACACACACAGACAGAAACACACACACATACAAAGACACATACATACATACATGAAAGTAGAAAATAATCTGGGCACTCCAAGGTATTCCAACAAACAGGCAATTTCATTGGACCCAAGAACCAAAGAACAACGTTTCGAGAAAAAAAAAAATGGGTCCAATAAAATTGCCTATTTGTTGGAATACCTTGGAGTGCCTGGATTATTTTATACTTTCAAATTTGATATTTGGTCTCTTTGGTACTGGGGCTTATCCAGTTTCAATTGCACCCAGGATTCCAGGATGAAGGTTTGAGTGCATTTCCATTACCTGTATAAATACATACATACAGACACACATACAGACAGACAGACAGACACACATGCACAGAAACACATTCAAAGACACGCACATACATACACACAGACACATACATAGCGACAGACATACACATACACACATACAGACACAGACACACACACACAAGACACACATACACACAAAGACACACACATACATACAGACAGGCACACATACATACAGACAGACACATACACACATACAGACAGAC